AGTTTGAAAAATTCACATTTCTTCGGTGCTAAAAAGTAAATTTGGGGCGTGCACTTCATATCTGAGAGTCAAATAGAACCATCAAATACTGTGGTTACAACGCACTTTGAAAAATTCACATTTCTTCGTTGCTAAAAAGTACATTTGTGTCGTGCTGCTAATATCTGAGAGTCACATAGAACCGTCAAATACTGTGGTTACATCGCAGTTTGAAAAATTCACATTTCTTTGGTGCTAAATAGTACATTTGCTGCCTGCGGTGCACTTCATATCTGAGAGTCAAATAGAACCGTCAAATACTGTGGTTACATCGCACTTTGAAAAATGCTAATTCTTTTGGTGCTAAAAAGTACATTTGTGGCGTGCACTTCATATCTGAGAGTCTTTTAGGACCATAATATACTGTGGTTACATCGCACTTTGAAAAATTCAAATTTTTTAGGTGCTAAAAAGTAAAATTGGGGCGTGCACTTCATATCTGAGAGTCAAATAGAACCGTAAAATACTGTGGTTACATCTCACTTTTAAAAATTCAAAATTGTTTGGTGCTAAAAAGTAAATTTGTGGCGTACATTTCATATCTGAGAGTCAAATAGAATCGTAAAATACTGTCGTTACACCGCAGTTTTAAAAATTCTAACTTTTTGGGTGCTAAAAAGTACATTTGCCGCGTGCACTTCATATCTGAGAGTAAAATAGAACCGTAAAATACTGTGGTTACATCTCACTTTGAAAAATTCAAATTTTGCGGGTGCTAAAAAGTACATTTGTGGCATGCCCTTCATATCTGAGAGTCAAATAGAACCGTTAAATACTGTGCTTACATCGCAGTTTTAAAAATTCTAACTTTTTTAGTGCTAAAAAGTACATTTGGGACGTGCACTTAATATCTGATAGTCAAATAGAATCGTAAAATACTGTGGTTACATCACACTTTTAAAAATTCTAATTTTTTTGGTGCTAAAAAGTAAGTGTGTTGCGTGCACTTCATATCTGAGAGTCAAATAGAACCGTGAAATATTTTTATCACAAATTCTCCTATTTCTCTACTAAAAGGCTTTGCCTTTTCTTACAGGCAGTTATTGTTTTGTGTTTCCTGAAACTACAGGTAAGTACCTCACAAGGTAAGACAAAGCAATGAGAATTCTGTCTTTAATACCTACTTCCAGAGAACGGTGGTACAGGGTGACAGATAAATAACTTATTTGTTAGTAGTTTAATTTTTTTTTTTGTGGGTAAATATTTTAACGGAGTCTTTGGAGATTCATCGTGGGTAATTTCACAAAGGAACAATGAGTAAAATTTATGGAATTTAATTTTCAAAATTGCAGGTCCATTATTTTGATGCAAAGGGCTTACCATCACCACGTTCGCCTGACCTTTCAGCTACCAATTACTTTCTGTGGGGATATCCGATGGAACAGGTGTATGTGAACAGACCACATACACTTGAGTAGCTCAAAGAGAATATCTGTGCAGAAATTCGAGTGCTACAGCCTCAAACATTAACTAATATTATGAACAATGCCATCATAAAAGCCCGTCTTTGAGAGGTGGCAAATTGAGCTAATTTAAAAGATGTTATCTTCTGTACCTAGTCAAACAAATCTCCATACATTAAGCATTCATTGAATGAAATATCATTGAAATTGGTTAATTAATAAAAAAGTTATTGACTCCTCAAACCCTACACTGAATTTTGATCACCTTCTATTTTCAGTTTAATTTATCTTCCCTGTTTGAAAGCAGGGTATGACTGGCTTCATTCAGCAGTGTCTGGAATTTCAGGGCTCGTTCCAGTCTGAGGTCTGGAAGTTATGACTTTGAGAAGGTTCTGATTTGAACGTGCCATCCATTCAGTATTTCTTCTATATTAGAGAAAGTCATTACATTTTGGTTTTGTCAAAATATGTTTTGAATTGCTAGACTGTCTCTTTAGGTTTTAAGGAGGTTCTACTTAAACCTATTTAATTATTCTCCATAGCAATACCTGCATACCTATCCTTTCTGTTGTGAGCGGATGAGATAACCCATAAATAAATGCTGCTTTGTGTAATTAGGAAAAGTAGATTACGGTAAGTATGAAACAATTTTCTTTATTCTTAAAAGAGTGGGGAGAGGATTAGTAGAACAAAATAAAACTCAGCACACTTACTGCAATTGCCATACTCTGCAGATATATGCAAGCACATACAAACATACAAATTCCCTAGGTGAAACATTAAGATATTGTACACAAACTTTGCACAAAATGGAAATAGAGAAGGACTTCAAAAACAATGATACTGTTAAAGAGATTCTGTTACATGGTGTTTGGAATGGTCCTTTACAATTTAATGGTTTTGATGCTTAGAGTCCCCTCTAAGAACTTTCCTTTGGTCACTCTTAGGTCCTTGGCATTGAATTTAATTAAAAAAAAACCTACATTGAAGATATCAAAACATAACAGGAATAAATCTCAAATCCAAAACTGGAATGTGCACACCACAAATTTCAAAGGATTAAAACAAAATATTTAAGCAAACATAGCCAAATGTTACACTTACCAAATCTCATTTAATTTTTGTCATCTTAATATTTGCTATAAGCTTTAAGGAAAACTCTCACTTCTCTGGAAATTATACATTTGAACAACATTAACACAACCACCTACAACTCTTAGGTTCTCTGTTTTGTTTAACTGTATATTAAAGATATAACAATGAACATCACAATTAGATTAATTCAGCTTTGTCCTTGCACAGCCAGGGCACACATTGAACTGGAGGAGGAGATACAGAAACATTGTCTATGTCCTTTTTCTATCTTTTTTGCCATGGGTTTGCAAACTGTAAATCATCAGCTGTTAATGAACTACAACTGCTGAAATGATTTGCCAGTCTATAGAGTGCTATAGTATCTTTATAACTATTACCATTTGCCCAACCCTATTCTGTGCTGACTGACAGGTTGAAAATGATTAACAGCGAGCCAAGATCGAGGTGCTCCATACTGGCATCAGTTAGGATTTTCAAATGCATTTCTATTTGTGCAAGCTCACAAACACAGAATCGGTAAACGTAATATTAAATGTCTTGGAAGTGATGGATGCCACTTCAAACTCTCAAGCACAGTTCCTTATCATATAAGTTAATATGGTGCATAATTGTTGTATGTATCTTTAAAATCCAACCACTAGATGTCACTATAGGACCTGCAACTCCTCACATGGACACGTGAAGAGAGACAGAGAGAGAGAGAGCGATACAATACATTGCAATTATATTGCTATGATTTAGGATTACCCAGACAGGTATTGTACAATGAATATACCAGTTAATGCAATCTAACTGTTAATGATAAATAACAATAAATCTATCTCCATATGCTAAGTATTCAGAGTCACTTTTTTTTTTAGGAGTTTCTGAATGTCAGGATTAAGTTTTCCATAAATGCATCTTGAAATAAAACATATATATCAGTTCCCTATCACCTATTGCATCCTTGAGTTCCCAATCATCATGGATATCAGGGTTGTCAATCTCCAGCACCCCAACTTCCACAATTCTTTGAATGCAATTGAAGAGCTGAGAATTATAGGGAGTACCAACTTTTGACAACCCTGATCTAAATGGATGTTCATGTTTGGAACAGAGGAACAATATCCTCTTCATTTATAAAAAAATAGCATACTCTGACTCAAGGCTGGATTACGAGCCTATTGGGCCTGGTGCTGATGGGTATAATGGGTTTGATTATAGCATCGTATAGACAGAAAACACTAAAACAGTTCTACCTCTCAAGTGTCATGTATCTGGTGGAGGTGGTGCTGGAGGAAACTTACAGGATGCATTTATAAAAATACACATACCCTATACCAATCTCTCGCTTTCATCTCTCCAAGTTTCTGTCTAATTTATACGTTTTGACCAAGAAATAGCTGAATGTTGTGAGAGTAACAGAAAGGGGACATGCCAAACTGTTAGAGAGACAAAAGCAGCAAGAGAATATGCACATTAATCCAAAGTCAGATTTCTGTAAATTATTTTATAGTCAGCCAGTCCACACACGTTTTGTTCCCCTGCATCCCTCCTAAGTTCCAATTCTTAAAAGGTTTCTTCAAGCACCTTGAACACTTTAGTGATTTGAAGAAGTCACAGCACCTGGAGTCTGTATGTACAGCATCATTGGGCATCACTAGCCAGCCCAGTACAAAATGCCTGAGCTGGCTAGTATCAATTCTGATCAATCTTAGTGTCTGACGCCAGCATGCACAAAAGGCTGCCAATGGGTGCATGTCCCCTTCTCATTCCCCCCATTCCCCCCCCCCCCCCGCCCCACACCCTAAAAAAAAAACGCACCTTAGTTTCAAGTGCCAAAGCCTTGTTCCAACACCCTCTCAGATCTTCCTCAACTGGCATCACTGAGGTAAGTCATGGAGGGCCCTATGCGACTTATCTCTGTAATGCCTGCTGAGGAAGATCTGAGAGGGTGTTGGAACAAGGCTTTGGCACTTGAAACTAGGGTGCGTTTTTTTTTTTTTTAGGGTGTGGTGTTGCAATTTTATTTATTATTTTTTTTCTTCACTTGATATTATATATTATGGCATTGATAAGAGCTCCAGTAAATTACTTTGGGGATGGAGCCTGACCACGAGATAGAGCAGACACCAATGTGCAGAGCACAATATCAAATTTCCATAAAATCCTGATCTTTGGGGCTTATCACCCTACTTTTACTCAACTCCTCATGATATCTTGGACCTTTGCTCCCTACTACAATGCTGGTCTTTCAAGCCCCCAAGACAAAATGGAATAAACATCATTCTGGGGCCTACCATTTGCCCTCAGACCTGGACCTTGCTGATTTGCTAAGTGGTATTCCACCACCTGAGGCGAGAACTATCCCGACCACTAATCAGCTGGAACTGCTCTACTCTATGGGTTGGCGCACACTGAAGCCACAACCCGACCATCCCTCGGGATATTGGAACTTTACTCCAGCGGCAGCTCCAAAATAAAATGGTCGTGCCAGTGGGCCGGGAGAACTCCGACTCACTGCTGGACCCCGCACGGGCTGACTCACTCCCGAGCTCTACTTTGCCGGGTGTAGAACACTCTACAGAGGATGCTCCAGACACACAGGCACCTGTTACTAAACAGGACTTCAACAACTTAGTGGTGGAGATCAAAACTTTCTTGGCGACTTATGTGGCAATAATTAAAGCAGATATGCAAGCGGTTTCTGGCAGGGTGCAGATCTCAGAGGGGGACATTCCTGACCTTAAACAAGACCTGTCCATATTAAAGAACTTTGTAAATACTCTGCAAGCCAAAAAATATGCCTTGACCCTCCACTATACCGCTCTGGACGATTGGTCTAGTTGCAACCACTTGTAGATCAGGGGCATACTCGACACCATCCCTCCGGAGTAGCACCCTCACTACATGAGGCTTCGGTCTTACCACCGAATAAGAACAAGAAGTTTTCCCCAGCTGGACTTTACAGCTTACCCAAGTCAGGCAGAGCACCTGCCACCGTTGTACAAGATGGGATCATAAGTTGTACACTCCTTCATGACAAGAGACTTTTGCTGGCGGCCCTGTAGGGGAAGACACTTTATGCCTTTGAAACTCCAAACCTTACATTCTTCCAAGACCTCACCCAATCCACTTTACAGTGGCATAGGTCTCCTGTGAATTCGTTTGTGAGCCAACTGAGAGCAGCGGGAATAGAATACAGTTGGCTGGTAGGTTCCTAATGGTGACCAATCAAGGAACAGCACACATAATCTCTACTCTGGCCTAATCACCTAAAACACTGTGGTTCGAGTTTTATGGTTTATTTTACAATTATTAAGACTTTTTAACATAACTTCCCCTTAGGATACATGAAGGTCTACCTATGGCATTTGAGGTTATTTCCTGTAGTTCTATTTGGAATCAAACGCCACTAAACCTCTTTCCTTTATAACATCACCCTTTTACAACTAATGAAGCCCTTTTCATGACATCTGTAACAGTACTACTTAGAACTCAACACATCACTCTTTGAACATTCCCTTCACATGTATGCCTCTTCACAATTCATCTCCCTTGAGGCACATATTAATGGGTATTCTTAATTATCCAGCAACTTTGGAGTTAATGCACTCTTTGCACTAACGTCTAATAGCCTCTCTTTTCCTCATAAGACACGCCCCTTTACCAATACAATTGGCGGTCGATATGTGACGTCACGCTTCAAGGGCATACCCCTAGTGGGTTTAAAAAGAGGCGCGATGTAGCCTGCAGTCAGCTCTTGACAAAGGCGAAAGGTATCGCCGAAACACGCGTCCAGCCAATCTCTCCGTCACTGCGGATGATTTTATACTAGGACCACTGGTTTCTCTCATGCTGTTTCCCTCTCTTTGAGAGGCTGCTAGTGGGGATTGGATTATGTATTAGTATAATTTATTTGATAGCCTGGAGACCTTTACTTAGGGATTCTCTACCCCAAATCACCTATAGTACTATAGGATATGAGATATACATAAGGCTCCACGGTATCCAATATCTATAAAGTCTTTTTCATATGTACAGTAGTATACTGCACTACATAAACTACAGGATGAGATTTGGGTTTTTGGTCACACTAATTGCCTATAATATTCCGGGACGCTCTGATATCGCCTCGGTCTTGTGACGAATTACGGCTATTACGGCTATATAGGTTAATATACCTATTCACCATCACCTACACCCTATCTTTGGGTTACTCCCAGTTTGTTTCACTATAGTGGTATACAGTATTATCTTACTTTTCTTCCATACTGTCTCATAGACATAAGAATAAGAGTACTTATTATTCTTTATCCTTTATTTTTTATTTTAGGGTATTACAATCGCGGCTAATCTCTATTCTCCAGTACTAATCTTGAGATCGATTTAGTATATCTAGGGAGTGTTATCACCTATTGCCACAAATACCCGTTTACCTATACTCTTCCATATATCCCCCTGGAGGGTCTATATAACCATTTTCCTTTCTACAGGAGTTATATTAGATCTCTTTATACCCTCCCTCCTAAGATCCATTTAGTACTTTACACAGAGTGTCTATTTTCATGCAACTATTTGCAACATATTATCTGGACACTATCCACGTTATAAATTGGATCTATTACAGTGAGAGGATGTTTGTGTTGTATAATCCTTCTCTCACCACCAATACTTCCAATTGGTATCCTTTTGAGAGAAATCCACTTTGCGTTGTGTATTAATAGTGAATGTAATATCCCTGTGTCACCTCTTCCAAGAACTAACATATATCTTTATCCCCTTGTCCAGATAAATATATGACTAGAACTACTAAGGTATTCTACCCGATATTACAAATAAACAGCCAACACCATAGTTCTTAGCAGAGAGAAATCTTTACTTAGAATCTGCCCAGTTAAATATTACAGAAGAATAATGTTACAGAGTTATAGTATTACAGAGTTACAATACATTCATAACACTCATACATTCCATCTATCTAATATCTACTGTATTGCGTATGTGCTGTGAGATGTTATGTGCAGCATGTGTCTTACCAAACCTAATCTAATGTTATGTCAGTATCTTCTATTTTTAAAGGAATTGGTTCCCATGTTGTAAATAGCAAATTCCCCAGCTCAATTGCTATGTAAATGTGATTTACTTTCCCAAGGCCCAACGTGTTGCCTATCCTGTTATTTTATTTAAGTGTTAACTCTCCCAGCCATCCCTTTGCCTCTAACCCATGGTGTGTTTTCCTAGATAGGGACTCCTTTAAAGGCCAGTTGATATGCAAATGTGATTGGTGCCTTTCAGGTGCTGTATCTTGCCAACTATCTAAACAGAAACTCCCTTTGAAGATAATTCCTGACCTCCCATACACACAGACTTAATCAAGCACATATTAAACAGATATATACATAATATTTTCCCCAACAGTTTGCTCCTATTTTTTTTAACATTTGCTATTTATTATTTACTATTACAATTTTTTGTGTGTGTTTATCACCTAGTTAGTACACAGTTGTATATATTTTTTATATTTCTTGTTCCTTATGAGGGACCAATAAAGATTAGATAGCTCTACTTTTTTTGCTCTGTACTTAGGCATTGTCCATCTACTTAATTTAGAGCAATTTCTCCTTTAAGGATACCAGGTCTACATGGGTGGCTGGTTTATTTAATCTGCCACCTTTTAGTCCTTCTGTCAGCATCTTGATATGCCACACCTGTGAGATGGATGGGTTATCTCGGCAAAGGAAGAGTGCTCACTATCACAGATTTAGACAGATTTGTGAACACTATTTGAGAGAAATAGGCCTTTTGTGTACATAGAAAGGTCTTAGATCTTTGAGTTCAGCTCATGTAAAATAGGGGCAAAAACAAAAGTATTGTGTTTATAATTTTGTTCAGTGTAGTTACATAGGCTGAAAAAAGATGTGAATCCACATAGTTCAGCCTTTCTCACATCTGTTTTGGCCATTGGTCCAAAAGAAGGCAATACAATTCAGTTTCAAGTGCTTTCCAATTTTGCAACAAAATTTGAAAATTCCATTATGGACCCCAGCATGGCAGTCAGATCTCTTGTTGGATCAAGAGAGCTGTTACTCCACATATTAAAAGGTATATCCCTAAACATTGTGTTTTTGCAAGAATCCATCAAGTTGCTGTGCAAACATCTGTACTTCTGTATTTGTTGATTTCAAATATTAATATAACATGGTGCTATAGCTATTATACATGTTTGTTTATCTATATGACATGTAACAACCCATTTAATTCACAACAATGAGTCAATAATGCTTGCTTTGTCAATGTGCCAGAGGTTTCTTTCTCTCCCTATTCAATATGTTACGTTTGACATGATAAAGGTTTTGCTGATTTAACAAAGTTTCTAAATCCTACATGAAAGGAAACCACCATTATAAGTACAGTTATACTGTATCACACAATAGAGAAACCACACAATGTAAGGAAAAAAGAAAATACACCTTTCTAGCCATTGGGTGAGAGGGTTTGTATGTTAATTGCCAGTATATAATGGGTTCAAAATTCTCTTGGAACAGCATTGAGTTGACATCTGAGCAGTGAAGTAAACATGGGGAAGGTAAAGATTTTCTTTTTTGGTTACCCAATTAGTACCAAAACTGACTCAACAATGAATGCATAGCCATTGAACAACGTGATTCATAAATTATCACTAGACCCGACATTCTCAGATAAGAGATCAAGAACCTGCACTGGTAAAGGATTTAGCCAGCTGTGTTCCAAATAGAATGTGTTGGTATTCCTTGAGGTTAGGTTTGATAAGTAACGCTTTAGATCAAGGATGCCTTGAAGACCAATCTTCATTAAAAAAACTATGTTCATATGTAAATTTAGTGTTTGTTTTCCACATTTGTTTTCCTGCAGATCACTTTTTATGAAGACAGGAACTTTCAAGGGAAGTCCTATGAGTGTTCTGGTGATAACGCTGACCTACATTCATTTTTTGCCCGCTGCAATTCCATCCGTGTAGAAAATGGCTGTTGGGTGATCTATGAACGCTCCAACTATATGGGACATCAATACTTTCTGAAGAAGGGGGAATACCCAGATTACCAGAGCTGGCTGGGTTTTAATGACTGCATAAGATCTTGCCACTCAATCCCACAAGTGAGTCAAACAAGGATGGGTTTGGAATTTATGTTATCGGCTTCAGCTTTGCTCATTTTGTAAGAATTCCTTGAATTTCTGGTATGGCAATATTAAACAAAAAGGGATAGAATAAAAAAAAAAGGAAAAAGAAGAATGTGGATTTTTGTATCATACTTTATTTTTAAATCTTTGAAAATGTGGGTCCAAATTATGAATCCAGTTTATTATGGATAAAGTATGCCTATAATTACATATAAAAACTCTCATTTCGGCACTGTATATTAAATACAGTACATTTCAAATACTTACTAACACGCTATTATAAAAGGGGTAGCAAATACCATATGCGATAATTTTTAATCAATTCCTCACAACATTCGTTGATAGTAATTTAGTTTTCATTATCAATTGAATGTTCATGTGATAATAGTGAATAGTGAAGTTTTTATTTTTTATTTTTTCTTCAAATATCAATAAAGGAGAAATAATTGATACAAAACCCAGAAACGTCATTTGTTTTTAATAAACATGATTACACAAGTCACTCCCAGAATGATAGTTTGTTTAAGTCCTTAGCATTATTATTGGATTTGTTTTTATAGCAAGAAATGGTTATAGTATAGAATGGTAAGCAAAAATAAGAAAATAGACAGTACAAATGAGCTGTCTTTGAAATCTTGATTATGCTAATTTAAAACAAGTTATTTTTTTCTCCAATTATTAAATTTCTCCTCTATTCACCTCCGATACAGCACCATGGACCTTACAGAATAAGGCTCTACGATAGAGAGGAGTTCCGTGGTCAGATGAAAGAGTATGTTAACGACTGCTCTAACATCTTTGAGAGTTTCAATGCACGTGATGTCCTGTCCTGCAATGTTCTGGATGGCTATTGGATCTTCTATGAGGAATCTGGCTTCAGAGGAAATCAGTACTTCCTGAGACCTGGTGAATATAGGAGATACACCAATTGGGGATCCACAAATCCTAAAGTTGGCTCTATAAAACAAATTGTAGACTTTTATTAAAAATGTGATATGTAAAAGTGTATATTTCACTTAAGAAAAATAAAATTTGTAACAAAGATCTTTTCTACAGCATTAATATAGAATTAATACCACGCATCATAAAAATACACACCTTTGCACAAATATGTAGCTTGTTTAATGATAAGTGATTATATAGGATTATTCTTTTTACAAAAGTTACCTTTACATAATGCATTTAAAAGTTTTACCTCAAATAGATCAGGGCTGGGCTTTGTTTTTCCAGGTCAATGCTCTTAACATGCTCTCAAAAATATCATTACTCATACCTACGGGTTTGAGTATTGAGTATCGAATTATATCTTCCTAGGTTAAAACAAAAATTATGAAAATTAACGGTGGGATGAATGACACTATAATTGTTAAACATTGAGTGAGATTAAATCTTATTACAATAAATGTGCCACAGCAAGGACACTCAGAAGAAAGACTTACAAATGTATACAGTTCATTGGGACAAACCTTTGCAGAGAGGGGAATTTTTTCTAAACCCCAAATACTTATTAACCCTTTATAGGGAACACATGGACTCGACGGCAGCATTGTAGCATGGCCGTGTGATACAAAAATACCCCTCTCTGTCTCATTAGAGATTTGTTTGCCTGAAACTGATGGAAGCAAGGTGAATTGTTAGTGTAGGACCCACCTAAGAGGTTTGCCTAGACGTGGCAGGTGGGCTTACACCTAATGGCCATTGGAGTGAAACAAAAAACTCCATATGCATAGGGATTTGGTGTAGTGCATTTATTGGGGCAGATGTGTTCTATGGTCATTGATGCTGCATACGAGTAGTGGGGGTCTGAGCGCAGGACTTTTTTTTGTGTATTTGTATAAGTAAAATGAAGGCTATTGCCTATGATCTATGTCGTCCCATGTATTCTAAGCTTTCCTACATTCACTGATTTTTCTTTTTCTTTAAAAAGTTGACACAGTACACATGATCACACAGTACCTTTAATTACTGTCATGGCTGTGCCATGGCTGGTTGGCCTGGCAAAGGAAGCCTCAAAGCCATGGAAACTCTAGAACGTTCTGCATTTTGCATCCCTGTAACCTGGATGTTGACACAGAAACCACATTAATTTGACCTGGGTAAAAACCACACACTAAGGGCATAAACAATGACCAAGAACATGATTCAAAGTCCCTTTGCCCTTATGTTGGAAGACAAGGAAGGACAACCCACTTTCAGAACAACCTGAAATTACAAGACACCAAGCCACAAAGAAAAGGATCAGAATGTCTTCATGCATGTGCCCAACAGAAGGCAGCACACAGCACAGGGCAGCATTAACTGTGTACACAATCAATGACGTAGACTGCAACAGACCCAGATGCAAAGACTAACCTAGCCACGAAGAAAGGTGGTTACAATATATGATATCAATGTTTTTGTTTGTATATATACTTTATTAATATTTTAGCAAACCAGATTTATCAGAATGTAGGACACTAAAATTGGGGGTAAAAAAATTATTGTGTCCTGCATTCTGCCACCTCGTACAAATTCTGGGTAACCAGCAGAAGAGGGAAGCACAGAGCTCTTGGCAGTTACTCTATGTAGCATGGCTGTGTTAACCTTGTTAGAGAATATTTTTTGTTCTCTACCCGGTCTGACAGGAAGCTGCTCATTTTGAGCAGCAAGCAGCTTCCTATCAGAATTGATAAAGAAGACATTATGTTCTCATGCACATACCCTGAGGGCACTTACTAAGCCAACCCCTTGCTAATTTCTCAAATGCCATCTGAAATATATACATTCTTTGTCATTCTTTTACAATTATTATGACTGATGCTATTATGCATACACAAGCTTCTGTTGCACCTTTTTGATGCCTCTTTTGATGTAACTTGAAAACTCAATCCTAATGCAAAAGATTACTTCTGAAGAAGATCTTAAATAAGGTAAAACATGTTTTTTTAATTTTATGATAAAAGTTGCATGCTAATATCGCAAGAACCAAAATATAACAATAAAAATAAAAGAATACAGTTATAAATTTAGGATAATATAATACATTGGGACAGCAGCCCACAATTCTCTCTACTATTGGCTTGTCGAGGAATCGCCCTTCTTTCCCCTGCCTGCCTTCCTTGCCAGCCCTCCCCTGGATCCCAATAAAGAAAGTTACACACGCAAAGATGATAAATACTCTTAAAATTGTTCTCACTAGCCCATGATAACCTGCAACATTATATTTTAAAAATCTATAATAATTTATTGTACATACACAGTGTTAGTGATACTATATTCAGTATGATTAAGCATAAAACAAACAAAAAAATAATTATACTTGATACCCAATACCTTTTACAGTAATTCTATAACCTCCACTATGCTAGCAATTATAACATTTTACTCAACTCCTTAGTGACCAGACCGTTTTTAAATTTTCTTACTGTTAGAGACCAGGGCTGTTTTAAAAAAAAATAAAAATCTTTATTTTTGATGTGCTTAGCATAACACGGATTACATAGTACACATTGGGTAGTTTGCAGTGAATTAACATATCATAGCAGAGCAGGTTAAGTGTACAGAGATACTAGCACATTTTTGTATAAGAAAAGGACAAAAACACAGTGCAGTTGATAAGAACAGTAATGTATTACGTATGCAAGCTATGTGCACTGTTTAGGCAGATAAACAGTATGCTTTGAGTAAAGACCCCTCGGAAGTCCCAAAGTAAAGCCAGGAAAAAAATAAGAAACAAAGATAAGCATAATATCTGTTACTTAAGCTAGATGCACTGCCAGAATATCATGTCAGAAATAGATAGGCTCAGACCAGGCCTTGGGTTCAACCTATGCCCTGTAGTGGCCGCATCAGGACCTCCACAGAAGTTCCAGCATGGGGCTCAGTAGCCCACTTAAGTAGGAATGTTTGGTTGCTGTGTGGCGATCGGGTGAGTCCAGTGTGGGTATCAGGGGTCCCCTCGATGTTCCTAAGGCACAGCGTGCTGCTGCCCCATGATAGGCATTGGCATGGTAGAGGCCTCTCTCCTCGCACCCAGCCGCAGTCTGTGGACTCTCTGCGCATGCCAGATTCCTCGATGTAGCAGGTCCCAGATGCGTCTCCAGCTTTGCCTCAAAGGACTCAACAATTTTATTCAGGCATTGCAGGACATCATAGGTCATGAAGGAGCACACGGCACCCGCCATCTTGTGTCCACATAGATACCGGGTGCTTGTTCAGCGGGAATGTCAGCAGTGCAAAGGAGCCACTAGAGAGGAGACCAGGATCACCCCCACCAGTTGAAAGGGGGTGGAAACGGGGCACCGATCGGCAGCACAGGTCCGGGGCAGAAATCAGCTGCTTCTCCACTCTCCTGGGTTTACTAGGCCACCAAGCCAGCTCAGGTTTCTTCAGTGGCGTTGACACCCAGGGGCATCAATACACGGTCCGTTAATACCCTAGTAGGTTCAGGAGCACCCCAGGAGTAACCACTACCATTGATGAGGGTACAATTCACATGAATATCAGCTCTCTTTAGAATAAGTGCCAGAGCACCTACTAGATGCATATGTCCGGCATGGCAGTCAGGCCCCACCTCCCAGGACCAGGGCTGTTTTTATATTTCTGCAGTGTTTGTGTTTAGCTGTAATTTTCCTCCTACTCAATTACTGTACCCACACATTTTATATACTGTATTTCTCACCATTAAATGGTCTTTCTAAAGATACCATTATTTTTATCATATCATATAATTTACTAAAAAAAATTATAGAATATGATGAAAAAATTTAAATAAAACACACCTTTTCTAACTTTGACCCCCAAAATCTGTTAAGCATCTACAACCGCCAAAAAACACCCATGCTAAATAGTTTCTACATTTTGTCCTGAGTTTAGAAATGCCCAATGTTAACATGTTCTTAGCTTTTGTTTTGGAAAGTTATAGGGCTTTATTTTATCCCCCATACTTTTAATTTTGGATACCATTTTTAAATGGGACACCTGGAGTAATTTATTGTCTTCTTGCATTAAGGTTAAAGTGTTTGCTTGAGTATTAAGGTTTTCTGCTAAAGAAGCTATTTCAGATCTCAAATCTCCAGAATTAAGTATAACTTTCTTGATTTTAACATATAATTCATCTAAAAGTGTTGTTAACAGAGATTGAGTAATTGTTTGGGATTTGGAGCTCGTGGTAGAGGTATCTTCCTTAAATAAGCCAGATACTTCAAAGAGACCTTGCTTGTCTATTCCTTTAGTATCCAGTGGAAGTGATTTCCTTTGTTTATCTTGATAACTTTCATTAAGTTTTGGTGAATAAAAAGTACTTATAGGTAAATTTTTCTCAGAAGGATTGATTTTCTCTTTTTCAGAAATCTTATCTTTCTGTTTAGGAGCCTTTTTATTTTAATTTCCACACTTTAAGCAGATGGAGAAGAGCTGGATTATTAATTATTAATCCATTTTTATTTGCTCTCCCTTTTCTTTTCCCCTTTTCTTACTTCTCCCTTCCCCTTCCCCCTTTTTTTCTCTCCTTTCAGTTAAGAAGTTTAGTTTTTATTTACAGGGAGCAGTAACAATGATCTTATTTTGTCATCCCCTTATTCTCCTGTAATCTTAATTAATCCTCTATCTTTATATAGTTTGCAGTCCCCCACGGGGAAGAAGGAAATAGACGAGACGAAAAGAAAAAAATATCTTATCTAAATAGTATTGTACAATTAATTGAATTGCATAAAAGATGTATTTTCAGGTACGACTGGTTGCTTAAGCTGCGAGATCAATGCGGGATCACAGCCCATTAACTGAATGAAGTTATTTTCCTTTTTTCCTCCTTACCCTTTTATCAAGCTCCTGCTTTGATAAGCAAGAGTCTATTCAGATGAGAAGAAGCACGCAAGGACTGAAATAATTTAAACTCCTATGGAATATAATGGCTCCGTCTCTTCAGGTTTCTCAGGAACTGAGGCGTCTCACTATTTCGTCGTGTAGCTCTCCCTCATCTCACAGGGCCAACGAGTCGAGCGAGCGGACGTACAAACGTGTGTGCATACGTCACATCGCCATGCCCCGCAATCACCAAATCATATGACTGAGGTTTTATCTTGTGCTGGAACACAAGTAAATATTACCGGATCCAAAATAATACACAGGGTTTTATTCATTAGAGCCCCAATTGGAAGTAAAATTGTAATATCTAGGGAAAAAATTGCCAAACTGTGACTACGCGGTTGATTTCTTCCCCAAATCAGTACTTTTGCCTAAATTTTGAAATCCATTTATTACTTCACTACAATTCATTGTTCAGTGAGTTAACACCGCAGACAGACTAATGTGTGAATAAGTCCTTTTGTTATGGATTAAGCAAACAGCTGCATTTACTTGCAATAATTTATCTGCATTGCTGCATTTAAACAATGCAGAAATCACATATGATGTATACATCCATGAACCTACCACTAGATGGCAGTAGAAATATAACATTCTACCTTGGGTTCCCCCAAACCCTTTTTATTCAAAATCACACAGAGTGAAAGAAATACTTTCAAAGCACACCCCAATCTTTTTTTTTCATTAACAGCTTATAAATATTACCTTTACGGAATGGGCAATACAAATGTATCCAAGCTATTATAGAGAGGTACTAAATAGTCGAGCAGGGGTTATAGGGAGAAACATTAAATAAGGGAGGTAGGGAGAAACTCTTATATGTTCGGTGAGTATTAGGGGAACACTAAAAAAAAAGTATGGGACACACTAAATAAGGTAAAAGGGGGGGGGGCAAAGGGTAGGGATACAAAGATACTAAGATGAGGGGTAATAAGAGAAATACTGAAAATGGGAGGAGCTTTGGAAAAGTACACAAATAGTCAGTGAGGAGAGATACTAAAATGGAGAAAAGGGTATTCTGGACTGACATTTGAAGGGAAACGAGGGGTTGTTAAGAGGAGACACTAGAAAGATCAGTAGAAGGGATACTTATATAGAGAGGAGGGGTATTAGAGAGAGACTTAATTAAAGATGATGAAAGATGAGGGGATATTAGGAAGAGGGGTAACTATAGAGGGGAAATTAAACATTCTGGAAATCATTCTGTATACTAAATATCTCATTAGAAAAAAAAAGTCACTATGAAGAAAACCAACCATACAGTGTGCTCTTTTTTAAATTTATATTAATATGTAGATGTATTGTGGCAAACCTAGCCACTTAAGACTATTGCATGTGTGGATATTAGAAGGTTTTCTGGCTGTGAGAACCAAGTGTAATGTAATATGGAGCGTTCATGCGAACAAGAGTGTTCGTATGCTTGTAATACGTGAAACCCAGCATTGCCTATGCAGTTTCTCGAACAGTGAGTTTAAACACTGTTCGTGAAACGAATGACCTACCGAACGGTCGACCACACACAGGAGGTCGTGAGGCGCCCATTAACCGATTGCAACATTGTTGCAATCGGTAGTTAAAGACTTCCCTAGGTGGCCGTCGTTCGGCTACCGACCACACGGCGGTCGGCCATCTTGATTCCTTTGTTAGCCCAGCGGGGTTTTTGCCATCGAGCGCCTGGAACTAAAAACGGCTACTCGACGGCGCGAACCCCGCTGGACTTCCAGGCCGTTCGGGAGTCCCGGACGTTCGGTAGTTTGTTCCCCTATTATCAATCGCTATTTTAACCGTATGTTGGAAATAATGTGTATTTCGTACGGCGTTCGGTTAGTTAGACTGGGAGCTGAGCGGTATTTCCACGAACTATGCACTCAGCCTCCAGCTATCTACCGAACATCCATTCGTGTAAAACAAGTGAATATTGTTAAAGTTATGGATTTTTATGTAAAATGTAAGTTCTGCTGCACGGAGGGATAATCCCATTAACTGTATATTCCAGTGGGAGTATCCCTCTCGTCCAGCAGTGCATGATGGGAGAAATGTATGTGTTTGGCAGTTCCCCATGTAGTCCCCTACTGTACAACCCCTGTAATGTCAGTAGGGAAACCCCTTGCATGGGGAATCCCATAAATACAGTGTCCTGTGAATAAAACCTCAGTTGACTCCCAGCCTATGTGTCGTCTAGTTCTTGGGAAGGAAGGATTACTACAACGCTACCGGGATTATTGTATGCTGTGCTTATTCCCCTGGATTATTTTATGTTATTCCTGTTACCCAGCGGAGATATTGTGGATTATACTGCCTCTCTGCTACATGTATCATGATTTAAATATTAATAAGTATGCCGTGGTTTATTTGAAACTATCTGAATACATGTTGCTTATCCACTAACTACTGTTGTACTTTATATTTTATTGACTTTTAACCAGTAATTAGATAATTTTCATTCTTACATCACTTTTATAAAAAGCAAAAGAAGTTTTAATAAAATAAAAAAAATTGTGAAAATGAAGTACAAGAGGAGCTGTATTCAAATTTGAGAATGTTACCTTATTTTGGTAGCTTCACCGTATTTAATCATATGCTTTCCTTTAAAGCAAGAGACTAACCCATGTATTATTATTGACATATATATGAGGCCAACTTATTCTGCAGCACTTTACAATATTGTGGAAGAGGGGAATTTAACAATAAGTGAGACAATTAATAAATGTTACAAGAACAATAGGTTGATGAGGACCCTGCTCAAAAGAGCTTACAATCTTGTGCATGCACTCACATGTGGCAGTTCTGGCTAGATTCACTCAGTTCTAACTCACAAAAGGTAATTCAATGACATTGTCCTGAGGATCACATGATTGACTCATTGTTACAGTTATACCTGAAAAACATCATGGGCCATAAAAATGAAGCACAGAAAAATAGCTTCTTCTGGTATGTGACCAGCCCTTTCTCTTTGTTGTAAAAACTCTAAACATTATACAATTTACAATTACAACACAGGATAATTAGGGTTGTTGTAAAAAGGGGTCTAGAGGTCTAGAGTAGCCACAAAAATGATCTAGAAATGCATGTAACTGAGTAAAATGTTCTCCTTTGTCTAATTTGTCCAATGTATATAATGAGCACTTGTTGCTCGCTGTTTGTTGTATCTCCAGAGCAATCATCATTACAAGTTGCCTGTTCTATGCAAGTAAAGGTAAGGAAATATGAGATGTGATTTCCTGATAATAATTTGACATTTAAATCAATTTACATTTGGCAACTCTTTGTTTAATTATAAACATTCAGAGGTTATTTAAAGTGTGTCCTTAATTTAAATATAATAAATCTATAGTTTTATAATATAAAGGTAATAGATTTTAAAAACACAATGAATTGTATAAGCACTTGAGATTTTTAGAACTTGAATCCTGACATTAATTATTTTAATGAACATAAATGTAAAATATTTATTTTTCTGTAATTTTGTGTCATACAGTTAACAGCAGATTTCAAAGGCACTATAGTTTAGAACAATCTAATTACTTAAAATAGATTTATACATCATGTAAAATATGTGAATGATCTAATCATTGTATATTTTTTGCTTGCAGTCTTTTTCATATATTTGTGATAAATGCTTATTAAACTAAGAACTAGTTAGAGTTGGAGAGTATACAGTAGTTTAGGACAGGGATAAATAATGACGAGCATTTAGAAGCTTTGTAAGCATGGTGCAGAAGATATATTATAGAGGTACTCAACAAGAAAATAGTTTTTTAATAATGCCGCCTTTGGACACCAGCTGCTGGAATGCTGTGCCTGCTGATCACTATGCACAAAATTGACATTAGCCAACCCATAACTTTTGTTCCGAGATAGCTATTGATGCCCCAATGGCACTGCTGGAGGAGGAGTTACACTTCTGGCAGCAAAAGTGGTCATGGTGCTTGGAGTAACAGTTTAAAGTGTTACTCCAAGCATCATAACAACTACAACCTGCTCTGGTGGTTATGATATGAGGGACACCCTAGCCCTGTTTTCCAGTTATAGGGTAAACTGTTATGCAATGGTTTGCCCTCTTACCTGGTTCATTGGGCGACATGAATTCTTCCTACTATAATGACATGTACCCAATTTCTGCAGTGCTGACTGCTCTCAGCCAATGAATGCAATTACGTGCATAGAAATATGCTCAAAACTGCTTTTAGCCAGCCTAGAACATCTGTTTTGGGATAGCTGATGACACCCCAATAATGCTGCAGGAATTGGAGTTACATCTCCGAAAGCAGAGGGGTTAATGTATTACTACAACCAAAAACCAGCATTTTCATAAAGCACTGGTTTTTGTTACAGCAATTCTTTGTGAGGTGGTCTACATCCTTCAAACCTTAAAAAAATAAATAGCATAAAACTTACCTCTGTTCCATTGCTGAGTCCAAGTTCTCCCTGTAGCCCGATCCCCTTTGCCTGACATCACTCTTCTCACTGAAGGGGGAGGTCAGGGAGGACAGACTGAGGGGAGGACAAGGATACCATGTAGGGGAGGTGTGCTGCCATTGGCTGCCAGACAACAGCATGCTGTATGTGCTGGAGCTAGATGCTAATTTTGCCAGAATCGACACTAGCCAGCCCAGAAACATAGAAACATAGAATGTAACGGCAGATAAGAACCATTCGGCCCATCTAGTCTGCCCAGAACTTAGCTAAGTGGTTAACCTCTGTATGTGCAGTGGTAAATAGCGAAACACTGCATACATAGACTCCAGGAACCATGACCCCTTTCAGTCACTAAAGTGGTCATGGTGGTTGGAGTGACCCTACAAACTCTCTATGTGTAGAGTTTGAAAGATACACAATGCTGCACCTGCAGATTCATTTCTTGGCCCTCTTCAGGGACGAGAGGGATATCATTGCTAGTGCAAACAAAATTATTTATGGGGTCGGGGCCTGTGGCTGAGGCGGATGGCAGTGTGTGTTTGCCGCGTGTGTATGCATCTAGGGCTTACCTGGCGTGTTCCCAAGGTATAAGAGGCTCACGAGGCTCACTAGGTTTAGGAGGAAATGGCAAGCAGAAAGACTTGAGCGAACCTGGGGGGAACCACGGCAACCCTGGCTACCGCTCTGATAACGCATCAATAGCAGCACAGACATCAACAGCTACTAAATCTTACTGACAGAAATATGCAGCTGAAATGGAGGATTCTGGAAACCAGGGGGAGCCAGGCAAGTTAATGATGTATACCACTTCAACACTGAATCCCTCTATATCGGAAATCGCGGTTGAAGGAGGGAGTGCAGATCTCCGTTTATTAGTAGCACAGTTACCTTCTAAGGCTGACATTGCTGAAGCTGTATAAGCTTAAACAAAGTTTTGGAGAAAAGTTCCAATTATTGTGAACAGAAGTACAACAAATAGGGGCTAGAGTGGCAGCTTTGGAGGAGGAAGGAGAAGCTTCAGCTGAAAAGAGAGCAGCTGTACAAGATCAAATTACAAAACACATAATGAAGCACACTTACTCCTTCAAAGAAAAATAGATGACCTAGATAGCAGGAGTAGGAGAAACAATCTCCGAGTGCGAGGTTTACCTGAACAGGATAATGGGGATAAGGAAAACATCACCCAAACACTTAATAAATTATTCAATTAGATATTGAATAGAGGTGAATAAAAAATAATTACATTTGATCGTGCTCATAGAGCACTCCGACCAAGAGCACTCCCTCAGAATAAACATGATGTATCATGTAAAATTCATGATTTTGCCCTGAAAGAGGAGATTTTACATAAGGCTTGATAATTACAAGAGATATCTTTTGACAGCCACTCAGTGATTATTTATCAAGATTTATCACAAGCTACCTTATATGCAAGAAGAGCACTATGCCCGGTCACAAAGATTTTGAATGACCGCAACATCAGATTTAAATTGAACTTCCCTTTTGCTTTGACTGTGTCTTATCAAGGAAAATTATTGTCCATTTCATCTTCTGCAGACGTCCGGCAATTTCAAAATTCCTACAGATGAAGTGGAAGATTGGTCCAGCCTTTCACTTGAACCATTAAAGCAAATATGGCAGAAACCAAAATGGCTAAGAAATGTAGAAGACAACCCTCCTCGAATAAAGACACCTCACTTACACCTAGTGACAAAACATCTTAATGCTACAAAGCTGATTATAATTTATGGCTATTTAATATGTACTGAGCTGATTATAATACCTGAGTTGCTTGGCATACTATGTTAAATACTGTTGGTGATGTACTTTATTTTAATGCCTTAAATATCAAGCTATCTCAGGGATTAAGATATTCTTTTTTCTTTGCTTAATTTTTATTATAAATTGTATATATTCTTAATTTCTCCAACATCGGGAATTGGAACTGATAATTGATATCAAGTTCCACTTATAATATTAATATAATTATATATGCCCTGGTAATCCAGAAGCTGCAATTCCGTCTTTGTTTTCCCCAAGAGAGATGCATATTTCCACTTGTGGTCACAATAGGTGTGATCAAAGGCACAGCACTATTTCTTGCTACATAACACGTATAATATTATGGCTTAGTGTAAATAGACACATAATTTTGTCTATTTCTTTTTTCCTTACATTTTTTTATGATTTTTAATTTTTTTTATTTATGTTGACTTTTTTTCCTTTTTATAGTCTTGGAGGCAATTAAGCACAGACCGATGTGGAAAGATACAATTTGTAAAGTATGTGGAGAGATATTTAAACTTTGCTACAATTTAGATGATCAAGCTTGACTCTTTGAATGTTAGGGGAATTAACAGCTCTGAAAAACGTACAATACTAGTGCATGAACTTGGAAGAAGTCTTGCAGATGTTATTATTTTTATTTTTTTTAAAGAAACACATTATAAGGAAGGCCTTACCCCTAAATTGTGCTCCAAGAAGATTGCATTAGCATATTATAGTAATTATCAAAAAAAGTAAATCACGGGGAGTAGCTATATTACGGTATTTTCCTCTACGATTACTTTCACAGTAATAGATGTTAGAACCAACATACAAGGGAGGTATGGTTTTTTTCGGGGGGAAATTGGGAATACATTTTATTTACATTTACAAATCTCTGTGCCCCTAATATTAATCACATTTCCTTTAATCAAGCCTGTTTCAAAAAAAATTTGATTCCTTTGCTGGGGGTATAGGGGTGGTTAGGTGGAGGGATTGGAATATAATACTTAACAGAGGAGTTGATATTACTTCGTTGGGGAGAGACTCATTGGGATACCAACAACAAATATTCCAAAATATATTACATACATATCAGCTAGTTGATTGTTGGAGTACACTACATCCAACTGATAGAGATTATTCATATTACTCACACACTGCTGATTGCTATACTAGATTGGACATGTTTTTTTTAAGCTCACAGATACTTAAACTTGAGAATGACATGGGATATGGAATACATACACTGGTCCGCCTGGGGTAATAGGGAGAAATACTTGGAAACTTAGTTCACTTGGATTAAATGCTGGGGGATATGATTGGTTTACATAAAACAATAGAGGGAGGGGAGGATAATTGAATTAAAAAGGAAGGACGGGAAGAGTAAGGGAAAGAAGTGGAAAAGGAAAAAAAAGAATAATTAATGGTTTAGATGGTACAGTCTAGTATAATCCCATTTAGCACATATATAAAATGGGCTAGTTATCAGATAAATGTTTTCAGGTTAAGGAAATTAATTTTCCACATATAGGTAACATTTTTTTACTTTTATTCTTACTGTAAAATATAGTTAATTTTATGATAGTATTCAATACACCATAATTGGGATACACAGGTCTTTGTATATTATATTGCTGATGTATTTATTTATTTATTTATACTATGCATTCATTGTGTTTATTTTTTCTTTGTTTCTATTGATCTGTAAGATATGGTAAAACATATGTATTGGATATATATATAGTATCTTGTTATTAATTATTGGTGATAAATATACCCTGATATGTAATGTTGAAAATCCGAATAAGAATCTAATTAAACAAAAAAAAATATTTACGTGCTTAGAACATAAAATTTTTATACCTTTCTCCTAACTTCTGCTTTCTATCATTCTCCTAACTTACTCTTTTTAGTTGATTTTTCATTTTGGAATTTTTCTTTCTAAAATCAAGTACTTTATATAGAAATATTAAATTCTAACTATTTTCTTAAAATGTATTTTAATTACAGATGTCAATCATATTCTATGAAGAGGAAAACTTCCAGGGACTCAGCTATGAGTGTGGCAATGATTGTCCCAATCTAACGTCATACCTTAATCGATGCAATTCCATACGGGTCCTTAACGGATGCTGGATGATATATCAACGTCTCAATTACATGGGATCTCAGTATTTCATAAAGAGAGGAGAATACTCAAATTTGCACGAATGGATCGGTTTCAACGGTATTATCAAATCCTGTTTATCAATTCCACAAGTAAGCATCTTTTATTATTTTACTATGATTGTATAGTCTTAAGGGTAAAATAGTATGAATGATATTTTATTTAACTGATAATGTGAAAATGTATACTTCTTCCATGTAATTCACTCAGAAAAAGATGGGTAACTTTAGTAGTATTCAAATTAATACATTCATTTTTTACTGGATTTTGAAAAACAACTTAGATTAGTTACAATTGTCAGTAAGAATCACAACGTTTGTTAAATGGGCATTCTCAGTACTATAACTACATATCTCAAATGGCTCTCTTTGAAGAGCTATGTTACCTAGAGTGTCCCGGCGCCTTCCTATGATTTAAAGTGAAACTGTGTAGGAACTGTTCCTGATTTTGTTTTAAATTGGGGGATGATGCTGGTACACTCTAAGCAATTTAAATGCTACAGTAAGTCAGCACAGTGCTTTTTTTTTTGGTGTACATAAAAACACGGATTACAATAACAAATTGAACTTTTCACAGATGCTGCTTATTAAAGCGAACAGATACATTTTCCCACTTTCTTTTTATTTTTGGGGTGGACATTTTCCAATTCCAAATCACATGAGACAGTTGGGGAGTTTAGAAGGAAACATTTGGGTGTGTTCACCAAAGATCAAAAGTAGTGACCAAAAGTTTGGCAGAGAAATGTTGATCTGGAAAAATCAGTCACATTTTGGTGATCTTTGCCTATAATCTCGCATTCAGTTTTCACTATACTACAATTTAATGTTTTATTAACTTGATTTAAAAAAAAACAAAAAAAACCTTTTTTATATTCTTTATTTTTGCAGTGCATTGCAGAACAAGCTAAATGACAAAAGTATTTCTCATTACACAGGATTAACAATAGGTATATACAGCTCATGAGATGGTGAGAATACTGCACTTTCTGTGTAATTAATAACAAACACATCCAGAACACAGTTCTATGTGGGTAAAACAAAGAGTGAAGCATGCATGCGAGAGCAGAGAATCATGAATAGGTTACAAAACACATATCTATGTAGTCCACTGGTTAACTGTAAAAAAGCAGAGGCAGGTAGGTTATTGTGTGTGGCCATTTGTAGGATTAGGTCTAATACCAGATCTAGACTCTGCAATTGAATTTTTTCAGTCCGAGCTCTTGCTTGTTTGGAATTTGCATGCCCCTCTGCGTCAAGTGCAACTAAAAGGGACACACCTCCCCTGGGTTACAGCTGACCTCATTAAAATGTACCAGTTTAGAGATTCACTGTGGGCAAAGTTCAAGCGTACTGGCTCCATGAACGATCACTGTACTTACAGACATTGGCGAAATGCATGCACAAAACAAACAAAAATGGCAAAGGCCCAATATTTCAGTGAAAATGTGAACAACAACCTATCAAACCCAAGAAACTTTTGGAAAATCATACATAGCATACAAACCCCCACAATTCACTCCCAAAAAATTAAATATCTAGGTATGGTGCTAGACCACAATCTATCTTTTGGCCTTCACGTTGAAAAAAATCTCTTAAAAACTTTACCCAGAACTAGGTGCCCTGTACAGAAACAAATCCTGCCTAAGCCCTACAGTAAGGAAACAGAGAGTGCAACAAATACTAATGCCGGTCATTGATTATGGGGATGTAGTGTATGCACCGCAAACCCATATATATATAAACTTAATACGTTATATAATTTATTCTGCCGCTTTGTACTAGAATATAATTATTTTACTCACCCCTGTGACATGTTAAAAGAGCTAAATTGGCTGTCTCTGGAATCCTGACTCACTCTTCATCTTTCCAGCCATGTGCAGAAGAGCATTTCTGGGAAGCTCCCACCCTGCCTGAGTAGAATGCTCTCCCCGGCTGTTCCCACATCCTGTAACCTCCGATCCAGTACCAGCACGATATTTAGCATACCACAATACAAAAATAAAGTGGCTCGATCCTCCTTTTCCTACAGAGCACTGCAATTATGGAATAACCTCAGGGACACAGTCAAATCTTCATTCAATCTAAAATCTTTTAAGAGATCTATGGCAATATACCTCAGCACAGAATGCACCTGTCATGGTTGAATATTTTGATTACCTGTTATGTATTAAATTTATATATGTGTGTATGTATATATAGTTTGCATATTGTATTTTTGTAATATTGTATCGTATTGTAAAAATGCAATGTTTTGTTGACAAAGACCCAGGACCTACTTGAAAACGATGTATCCATCTTGGTAAATATTTTATAAACAAATAAATAGTCAGGTTGTAAGCAGGGACTTTGGAGCTGTTAGCCAGTTCCTACTGAGGGTAAGTCCCAATCTCCATCACTGTCAGTTGCATCTATGGAGTTCTTTCACTGTGCCATCCAGGCAGCACAAGACTTTCCTTCACAGGTAGGCATCTTGACTCGCAGCCAGGGCTCGTGCCCGGCAACTGCAGGTCCTGTGCATCTGGTGATATGAGTGACAGGCCTCCAGGCGACAACAACCAACCTTGCTTGCCTGGCATTGAGGTGCGTTACCGCAAGTGTGGGAGGTAGAGTAGTGAGGCACTGACAGTCGCCACCTCAGTGACTTCTTGCACTGTCTCCTCTGCATTACTCATCCAAGAAGACGTGGGATCGACCCACTCAAGCTGTGTCGGCCTTTACGTTGGATCTCAAAGGCCACGGCTCTGCTCGAAGGAGTAGAGTTGAGTCCCTTTTCATAAAGCTTGGCCCAGAAAGTTGCGGAGATGCGGTCAAAGTTTAAAAGGATTAGGTCCTCAAACAGGACAGGTAGCTTATAGTGAGCAGTGTACTCCCCAGGGTGGCAAGCAGGGTTCGTGCTTAAAATTGGGCTAGTAATGTTGAGTTTCAGACTTACCAAATTGATTTTGTCCTGGTCGGCTGTCAGGCCTCACCCCACCCCCCTTAACTTGATTGTTTTAACTTCTTAAATACTTTGTCATCACAGTCTAATGAATATCAGGAATTTAATACTGTACATTTCAGGAAAAAGCTCAACATAATTGTGACAAAACTAGCCACTTAAGACTATCAATATATGAATCGGTTTATATTCCTTCTAAAGCTGTGAGAGCCAAGAGTATGTTGTATTTGCATTTCAGGCGAATGAGGGCATTCGTATGCTGGCGGCATGAAAACCCCAGCATTCATAATGTAGTTTCACGAACAGTGAGTTTCAACACTGTTCGTGAAACGAATAAGCTAGCGAATGGACGACCACACAGAGGAGGTCGTGTAGCGCCCATTAACCGATTGCAACACTGTTGCAATCGGTAGTTAAAGGCTTCCGTAGGTGGACGTCGTTCGGCTACCGACCACGCGGCGATTGGCCATCTTGGTTCCTTTGTTAGCCCAGCGGTGTTTGGTCGTTGAGCGCCTGGAACTAAAATCGGCTACTCGACGGCGCGAACACTGCTGGACTTCCAGGCCATTCGGGAGCCCCGGGCGTTCGGTAGTTTGTTCCCCTGATGCCAATCGGTACGTTAAAGGTGATTTGAAAATAATGTGTGTTTCATGCGGCGTTCGGTTAGTTAGGCTGGGATCTGAGCGGTATTCTCACAAACTGTGCGCTCAGACCCCAGCTATCTACCGAACGTCCATTCGTTTAAATGAAGGGAATATTATGGGAGTTATGTATTTTAATGTGAAAGGTAAGTTCTGCTGCACGGAGGGATAATCCACTTAGCTGTATATTCTAGTGGGAGTATCCCTCTCGTGCAGCAGTGCATGGTGGGAGAAATGTATGTGTTGTTCAGTTCCCCATGTAGTCCCCTACTGTACCACCCCTGGAATGTCAGTAGAGAAACCCTTTGCATGGGGAATCCCATAAATACTGTGCCTGTAATTAAAAACCTCAGTTGACCTCCAAGCTATGTGTCGTCTAGTTCTTGGGAGGAAGGGATTGTAACTACGCTACCTGGATTTTACCTGCTTTGTACCTGCTTGATTCTGTCTACCAGCGGAGATACCGTGGCTAATACTACTACTCCGATACAATAATATTATATTATTATTATACAAATATATTTGGTGCCAATACAAAACATTGTCTGGAAATCTATTCATAAAAAGGACTTTACATATGACACAAAGTCACGCATTTAGAGTGGAAGAAAGGAGATTTGGTCTAAGGCAAAGGAAAGGGTTTTTTTAACATTAAGAACAATAAAGATGTGGAATTCTCTGCCTGAAGAGGTGTCTTTTTTATCAGAGTCTACACAGATGTTTAAACAGCAATTTGATACATACTTGCAAAAATATAATATACAGGGATTCCATTTTTAATTAGGGGGATAATAGATTCTTGATCCAATGGGATATCTGACAGCCATTCTGGGATCAAGAAGGATTTTTATTCTAGTTTGCTGCAAAATTAGTTTGGGTTTTTTGCTTTCTTTTGGATCAACAGCAAAAACAAATGTGAAAAAGACTGAACTTGATAGATGCATGTCTCTTCCCAACTATGTAACTATGTATTCTTTTCTCCTTTTATTCATTGCAGTACAAAGGGTCTTATAGACTGAGACTATATGAAAGGAATAACTTTGGAGGGAAAATGCTGGAAGCGATGAATGACTGCCCCTCGGTAATTGAGTGCTTTAAGCACAATGATATTCAGTCCTGTTATGTGTTTGATGGCTATTGGGTTTTCTATGAACTGCCCTATTACAGAGGACGTCAATACTACTTGAGACCAGGAGAATACAGAAGATTCACTGATTGGGATGCCATGAATGCCAGGGTTGGATCCTTCAAACAAATTACTGAGTTTTGTTAGAAAACCCCAATCCACAATAAAGTGCTCTACAAAATATCTTTGATTGGCTTTTTTTTTCTATAGTCAATAAATGGGCATCTGATCTCTTCACATAATCAGGATGTTAACATTATTTAATGAGATGCTCCAGAGGTTTAAGATACCTCTCTTTTTGAATTCATAGTACAGATAACACAAAATACATAATTCATGAAAATAAACTTCACAACAATATTACATCTTCCTCTGCTAATACAGTAGGCATTGCCCTCGCCACGCTCCAATATCCAGAGCCTCTTATTCTGGTCTTTGAGGATGTTTTTGAACCTGTAAACTTCTGATCACTAGGAGTTTAGTTGTCAGCACATAGCAGCTGTCTTGCAGTGACTCATCTCATTTGATACAGGCCATTATTAGAAAAAGTCTTGAGTCTATAACTTTAAGGTAATATTTTGGATAAGCTTTTCAAATGATTTATTATTTTTGGATACAATCTTGGATAAAAATATACATCATTATATATAAAAATAATAAATATTAAAAGTATTTCATAATATGTGGCTTAAATTAAAAATATAAAATTAAAATATGAGCATCACTAATAATATTAATTCTACAAACTGTTTTATACCAAAGTTTTAAATAGTTTTATACCAAAATCACTAGGTTTCAGAAATGTATTACTCTTACAGAAGGTTCTGTTTTTTTCTGCTTGCTGATCTGCTTTGCGGGATATTCACTAAACTCTGAATTGTTGTGAATTAAATTTGATCACAAACGTGAGAATAAATTATCTGATCTGCAAAAATCTGCCAGTTCAGCTATAGACACTGTTTGACTCATTTACCTTGTTAACCTTAGTCTTAAAATGCTGCCAAACAATGATCAAACCCTTGATGTGCATATATATATATATATAATATTTCAGACATGTACCTGCCTGGTATTATTTTTGCCGATGCTTCAGTGATTCAGGCTTGGTACTCTTGTCATCATAAATATCTCCTAAAATGTATTAAGTGTTTCTATGTTTCATGTTAAACTCCCCATGTCCCACCTGAACCCCCTCCCCCTATCCTGATAATTTAATCCTATTGTGAATTCCTGTCTATCAGTGTTGGTTTCCCTGCTTGTTTTGGAGAGAGAGAGCTCATCTTACATTCTTTATATTACAAATAATTTTTATTCTGTTTATCTGCCCGTTTTGGGGAATTCTATATGTTCATCTTGTTTCCTTGTCTCCTCTACCCTGTCCCCTCCCCTCTCTGTAGCTGGATGTGAATTATGCCCCCATTGATTATTACACACTATATTCAGAGAGGAGAAAAAAATATTTAAAAAAAAGAAAAAAAGTAAACAAAGAAGGAATCAAGGAAGTCTTGAAGGTGAGCATCAGAGGTGGGAGTACGGACAGAAGATAGACGTAAGTCTTCAACAGAGTGTAAGGGCCTAGACAGGACATACTTGTGTATTAGGGAGGATAGATAGGTGGGAGCAACATTATGTAGAGATTTGAAAGCAAGAACCAGAATTTTAAATTGAGCCCTATATCTTACAAGAATGTAGGGACTGACAGAAGGGCAAGGCGTGGGCGGTGCGGGTGGACAGGAAGATGAGCTTCGCCGCCGCATTCATTATGGACTGTAACGGTGCAAGTTGGGAACACGTAAGATCACTGAGAAGTGGATTACAGTAGTCAAGGAGAGAAAGGACAGTGGAATGGAGCAGCACCTTAGTCGCATCTGGCGTTAAGTAGGGTCAGATGAGCACAATGTTTTTGAGATAAAAGCGGCAGGATTTGGTGATGGACTGAACATGAGGCGTGAAGGAGAGGTCACAGTCAAAGAGAACACCTAGGCAGTGAGCCTGCATGGTTGAGCTGATGTTGGCACCATTGACTTGGAGGGAGACAGACACAGGAGTAACAACATTTGAGGGAGGAAAGACCAGAATTTCAGTTTTGGTCTAGTTGAGTTTATGGAAGTGGGCAGCCATCCAGTTAGAAATAGTAGAGTGGCAGTCAGAGACACTAGTCAAGAGGGACAGAGAGAGATCAGGAGAGGACAGATAGATTTGCGTGTCATTTGCATAGAAATTATATTGGAAGCCAAAGGAGCTAATGAGTTTACCAAGGGAGGCAGTATAGCTGGAGAACAGTAGAGAGCACGGATGAGATGCGAGGGAATTGGATCTAAGGAGCAGGTGGTGGGGCGGGAGGACTGGAGCAGAGCAAAAACCTTTTCTGCTGTAGCGGGTGCGAATGAACATAGAACAGCAGAGGGAGTCAGGTAAGGGGGAGTATTGTAAGGGGATGAAGAAAGATGAGAGATCTCTTCCCTGATTGCAGAGATCTTGTCAGTGAAGTGAGTTGCAAAGTCTGAGGAGGTCAAATTAGTAGGTGGAGGAGGAACAATAGGGTGAAGAAGAGAGTTAAATGTGTGAAATAGTCATTTGGGTTTTGGGGGAGAGTGTCGTTATAAGGGTATTGAAGTAATTTACTTTTGCAGAGGAAAGAGCCAAGCTGTATGAGCGCAGCATAAATTTATAGTGGAGAAAGTCAGATGCACAGTTCTGGAGCATTTTTGGAGATATCGAGTCAGCTTGTTGTGCGAAGGTTGTTGGGGGCACTTGCTGCATTTAAATGTAGGAGGTTCCATGATGTCTAGTTGAGAGGAGAGGATGGAATTGTAGAAGGAGGTTTCAGAACTAGGACAGGTGAGGTTTGAGATAGGTAAAAGGAGAGTTTGGAGATTAGTGGAGAAATACTCTAGGTCAAGACATTGGAGGTTTCTGTGAGATTGATGTTCAGACGGTGGTGTCATTTGGGTCTTAGGTATGCCGATGCCAAAAGTCAGCAGATGGTGGTCAGATAGAGGAAAAGGAATATTGGAGAGATTAGAGGTGATACAGAGATTGGTTAAGGTGAGATCAAGAATGTTTCCTGCTGTATGGTTTGCTAAATTGGACCATTGCGTAAGGCCAAAGGAGGAGTTTACAGAGAGCAGACGAGAGGCATCAGAGCAGTTGGGGTTGTTGATTGGGATATTGAAAGCCCCAAGTATAAGGGAAGGAGTGCTAGATAAGAGGAAGTGGGGAAACCATGAAGAAAAGTCCTCAATGAATAGCCTAGGATGACTATATAGGTTTACACAATTTTTAGGATGCTTGCTTGTTCCTTAATAAAACAAAAATGACATTAAAAAGTGACGGGGGTGAAGTTGAACTGTCAAACTGACTAGACGCACTCTGCATGAGCTCCTGCAGTAAGGGCTCAAACTCTGCATGCGGGCACAAAACGCTGCTAAACGCTGTACAAAACACTCCCCCACCCTCCCCCCCAGTGGGGGATATCCCGGTCCCAGCCAGGCAGAGTGCCCCAAACCCCACACCACATAACAGGTTCAGCAACCTCCCTAAGCAATGTGGAGACAGGAGCCTTCAAGATGGCGGATCTCTCTGACTCCACAGTGTCAGACAAGCGACGGCAACAATATGCTGTAGTGGACACCATGGACCATGCAAGAGACTCCCTTGCAGTAATCTTTGACTGCTTCTGGGCCAAGTTGATGGAGCGCTTACAGCCTGAGGTGCATCGCTACAAACCGCCCACATGGGACAGAGCCGATGGTGGACGGATGCTTGAGAGTCCTCCTCAGGGCAAAACTAAGCCCCATGCTTCAGACTGAAATGGATATCAAAGATTCATGACTTACTGCTAAATCTCAGAAATAACAGACTAATCACTACCAGACATAGTACTGGATTAATAAAATAAAAAAAATAAAAATTGTATTAAAAAAAACTTATAACAAATATAATGTGTGGTGATGTGCCTGTGTACAAACGATTAACATATAATGGGTATTAGAAGTCTATAAACTGTTAAAAATACCTTATGGTATAAAAAAAATCACAATGTAAACTTGGGTATAGTCTATAATTGTGTGCGACAACCGCTTAGAAAAATAAAAAATCAGAATGTAAGCTAGGGTTTGGTCTCTAATTGTGTGCAACAACCACTTACAAAAATAAACTATCAAGACTATCTAGTCTACCTAACAATTTGATGCCAGAAAAACAGGACTGATTAGGACTGCACAGGTAGATTGGCCAGTGTGGAGTCCTAACAGTAAAATCAATCGATAAGAAGATGAGCTGCTGAGTACAAAAACTAGCTAGATGGTACTTCCTAATATAAAGAGACCATCTAGTTAGCCTATGAATTAGATATCGATTCAGCAGAACTGATAAGGACTGCACACGAAATTGAACAAGTGTTAAGTCCTAACTGTAAAATACAACGGAATAGCAGTCTATGATTTAAAACGAGATAATAGCGAAATAGTACTTCATAGTAATCCAGAGAGTTAATATTTCACAGGAAAGGTTATCTTTCAGTCTTAACCCAAGTGTAATTTGTAGAAGTACTGTGATGAAAATGATCTATTAATCATTCTCCTTAATGCTTAGCAGAATTATATATAAATATCTCTATTTTACCGACAAAAAAGGCATGTAGATAGAAAAAACAGCAACATAAACTGACACTTAAAAATAGATAATAGATGTCAGTATTGTCCAAGTTTTTTTGAATAAAATTTATTTATTTTTTTGATTTTATTAATCCAGTACTATGTCTGATGGAGATTAGTCTGTTATTTCTGAGATTTAACAGTAAGTCATGAATCTTTGATTTCAATTTCAGACTGTGTAGGTACACTACCATTCTCTGATATTTTCTACTTGGGGTTATCCCCCTTTGTTTAGTGTATATAATCTTTGGCTCTATCTTTGTTTTTTTTTGTTTTTTTCTGGCAACCATGCTTCAGACTGCCACGTTCAGGGCCCTCCCAGGCTGAGAGCAACAGGGCGCACACCCCAGAGGTGCCGGCCACACCAGTGAAGAGCAGCAAAACAACTTATTACACAGACTTTCAAGACTCCCCATGCCATCCCGAAAGGGACGACCCTGGACCATGACGATTCCCAGGATCGTGGCCTGTGGGCACCAGCTCTCACACAGCTCCGGGGCAGAGGAGAAATCCTGCCTCCAAGAT